CCAACATCTCTTCCAGCTGTGGCTGCTTCCCTAACTCCTCAAGTCTTACGAAGGTCTACCTGACTACGAAGGCCCATGCAAAGACTCAATCTTTAAAAGAAAGAGAGAAGTGATAACAAGTGCAGTGTCAAAACGTGTTCAACGTCATCCACTTGCGTTACGTCAAAGGCAAGCCACCTATGTATACACTTATTCGTCTGCAAAATGAAGGCTTTCTGCATTGGTTCTCAGTCCGGCTCGGTCACTTTGGGCTAGTTACTACACAGACGTAAGTGGCTAGATGGATGGATGGATGGATGGATGGATGGATCGATCGATCGATAGATAGATAGATAGATAGATAGATAGATAGACAGACAGACAGACAGACAGACAGACAGACAGATAGATAGATAGATACGCTGATAGACGCCAAAAGTGTCCCCAGTACGCAAAGACATTCTTCTCATCTAAAATGTTCGTCAGCGCTACCGTATAAGTATGAGCACTATTTTTTTCATGTGCCCATTCTCATGGGCGTCAAAGTCAGGTTATTCTTCGTTGACCATACAGGCTTACTCTGAAATTCTCGGCAATTACAACACTTGGGAACGTCGACCAAAAATATGGATGTAGAAGTGCGATCTGTGTGACAACATTTCTGCGAATCAGTGTGCCAGTTTTTTTAATTAGTGAAGGGACAAGAGGATGTACCAGAGTGGACTGTGAGCACCGAAACATTGCTACGAATGCCAAAGTATTGACTAATAGTCAGCTCAGAGCTCACTGTTTTTCATTACATTTTGTGGTAATTTTGTATTTTGTCGAGTATGTGAAATTTGAACAGTCTTCATATGCAAGGCAAGAAAGAAAAAAAAATATTGTGCCCCCTTTGAAGCGGCACTACATACATAACATTCCCACGGCATGTCAGCGTCCTTTCTTTCACAATTTCAAGCCTCACAGGCATTTAAATAACTCAAAGGAACGCGCAAGACACGCGCAGCTGAACCACGAAGAGATGCACATTACTAAAGACGCGACGGGGAACGCTGGTTCTGCGAACGAGTGACGAGCGCGCAATTTTCCAGCGTATGGAAACCATTTGCCACTTGATGACACCGCCCCACCAGCTGAAATTGTGTGAGTGGAAAGGATTCTTTACTCAGCCCATCTGCTTTTACAGTTGGTGTTCGTTATGTGCGACAACTAGACATACCTTTTGAGGCAAACTATGAAGCCTGAAGTTATAATCCATACCTGTTTTACCAGTTTTGTTATGTTTAATTGCACCACATTCAGCGAATGTTTGAACTCACATAAACCAACTTAATTTTTTATATATATATGGAGCTACCACCAAAAAATGCCTATGAGATTTATGATTTATTGAAAATATTTAGGTTGAAGCACTGAGCAAAAATAGATATAAGACACAATATGCATATACTAATGTGCAATACTCATTGGTAGTTAGCATCTAAAGGAAGAAGAAAAGCGAGATTATACGAAACTGGCCAGCAGAAAATTTTGCTAGATTCAATGCTGTCTTGTAGGTTCCCTAATAAAGATAAAAGAAATTTCTCTTCATAGAATCACAGAAAGGGGCCTGCTGCTTTATTGCATAGACGTTCAGAGTATTAGCTAGTATAGTTTTGTCGCTTTGTCGGTAATGCGTGACCAAGTAAAGCCATAAACTGCCCCATTGACACAAAAATAATTCATCTAGTTTTCGTCAAAGCACTAAGCTACTTCGTATGGAATATAAGTCTAATGTAGTCTACATAACCGCTAAATATTATGGTTCTGCTATGTAAAGAAAAAAATGTATTCCTACACAAACCTTCATTATTTTGCCCCTTTTCATTGGAACATAAAAAATTACTAATTACTTTATGTCCAATATCTCTTCATAGAAACCTTGAATGGCACTACTTCTAAAGGCACAGTAAATTCCGCTTTGTTACGTTGAATAGTTTCCCCGTACTCGCAGTACAACGGAGACTTGTTCAGCGAAAATGCTTTTATTGCTCACACTATTTTTATGCTACTTGGTAACACTTCCAACCAGGCAATAAAATCAGATGTCATTGAAAAGAGGGAATAATAAGCTTTCTGAAGTAGCCCTATTCAGTTTTCTTTGTGAAGCGCAGCAAGCCCAGTACATCCGCAAACAATGCGTAAAATGTGGTGTGGTTGCAGCCGCAGTGGGACCACCACCTTAAGAAATTATGTTAATACAAATACGATGAGGATAAGCAAGGTGCTAAAACACTAACACCCCAAATTATAATATTTTAGTGAAAATGGATGAGAAGCTGATAATGAAGGTAATATAATACTAGTAATAATGTAAATGAATACACGCACCAAAACACTAGAATTTTAGCAAACAAGGCAAATTATGGTGCACGCAAGCTTTAATATATGTGAAAAGTATAATACTTATTTTGCAAAAGTACAATATCAATCATTCAATGAAAAAAAACACATGTTTGATCTCTCCACCATAGGAGCCAGAATAGCAAAAAAGTAAAATGTGCTTTTACAGAGAAAATTCAATATTTACTGTACATTGATAAGGGAGGATTTGCCGAATGTATGTTTTGGTATTTGAGGGCTATAGCACCTTTCAAAGTGGATATACCTTCAATGATGCTTGGTACATCTCCATCCTAACGACAAACATTCATGACTATTTTATGAAACAAACCATTGTGATTTATGTAGATGATAACCACAAAAGCACGCTTAGAGAAAGAGGCGTGTTAGCAAGATGAGCGTCACATCTAGTGGTTATGGGGCTCGATTACCGACCCGAAGATCGCGGGATCGAATTCCGCCTGCGTTGGCTGCATTTTCGATGGAGGGGAAAATGCTGTAGGCCCTCAAGCTCAGATTTAGGTGCACGGTAATCTTTACCCCAGGTACTCGAAATTTCCAGGGCTTGTTCTTCACCGCCTTTTCCTTTTAACTGCATTGTACGTGCAATGAATGATGTTAGCCCTGTGTCTCCCTTGCCCCCCTTCATTGGAAAAGGGTACTTGATTTTCTTACAAGCTGCAGAGGTAAACTCTGTAGAATAGAACAAATGCTTGAGAGTGTTATACAAATAAATATAATATTTCAAATGCACTTCAGGCTCTTACTATAAGGGTGCCTTCCTGAATAATCAGTAAAAAATTGGCACTCAAAAGAATAACTCTGTATGTGAAGGGCCATGTGAGCTCGAAGCATATCAACTCTAGCTGCCAACAGGCAATATTGCCTAGAGAACCTCAGGCATGACATGCTATACTCCGTTTTCATGCCTACGTACACCTTAGCTAGCTACTAAATGAACAAAACTTCGAGGATGATGCGCCAAGAAGCTGAGTTCACTCTATTGAGGATGCTAGCTTGTTTTGCTTTCACTATTTCATTGTGATTGAACCCCGAATTCTGACACAAACTCGCATTTCAAGCTTCACTTGACCGAGTTGAGCACAGTCCTCCGCTTTCAAATGAGAAATACGCGGAGAAAGTACCCTTTCACATACATTGGCCGCTTTGCAACCTAATCCTGCCAGTCGAGTCACCAACTATGGATTTAAAGCACTACATTACTGCTTTCCAAGTGCAATGAACCAATGGTATTGATAATCTGCGTATATTGTCTAAAACAGATATGTTAAATTGGATGTGCTGATTGTGTCGTTTATGAATGTTGGGTGACTTCTGTTATGCTTACTTAGATTTGCTATGTTATGAATAGTTCTGTAGGTATTTAAGAGTTGCTATTTTGCTGTCATGGGCCACATGCTCGTTCTTTCCTATTATTGATTTTCGCTGCCTTTTGTAATTCCGTAACTTTTTTCCTAGGTGAAAGGGTCAGTCAAGCTATGACATGCAGCTTTTTTTCCTTCCCACCAAATCCCATATACAATGTGTGTTCTGTGTATTTGTCACGTGGCTAAATAAACTCGAACTCAAAATGACTTCTCAAGAATCACTGCACATTATCACTTATATGACTAGAGACTCGTTCTAATGTCTAGAGACTCTTATGAAAAGAAGGTGGAGTGAAGGGACGCTCTGGAATATGGAAGTAAGTCTATATTGACAAAACTGGATAGTATACAATTTCTCAACGCAAGGCCCTACTGTCCACAACTTACTAAAAATTCACTTCAGTGCTAGTTGAATAGATGCTGCAGCTGAACTACCGTCCCGAACTTTAATATCACCTACACCTAGAAGGCTGAATGTAGTGAACATTTCAAGGCCAGGCGGTAAGTTCATATTGGCTTCAATGAAACAGTCCGTTTGGACTGAAACCAGGAAGAAAGGTCGGTAGTGAACCCAAGATAATAGTGCAGCAAGGTACTTTAAACAATCAAAACAGTTTCATCAGACCGCAAGACAATAAGTTTAGCGAAATAATACGCATTCGCCGCGTTTTGAAGCCCAGTAGTGGTGGTGGCCGGCGTCGCACTAGAAACCATCAGAACAAGCCGCGCACTGATCGCTTACACAGCAACAGCAGCAGGATGTTAATAAATCGCGTAATCTGCCTGGTGCCTACTCGGAAAACAGCAGCGCAGCGAAAAAGAAAACGCCCGCAATTCTCCTGAACCGTGAACTGAGGCCGCCCATCTGCACTCGACCACAGGTGCAAACCTCCATTGCTGCTGAACTGACAACGGCCCACTACGTTCCATGCAAAGTTTGCACGACACGCGATGGTAAGAACTGGAGATTGCACCTCTAACCGACAAAGTATTTCCACGCGATCTAGCGCGACGCCCAGCCATTCGTCTACGGAAAATTCTAGAAAACGAAACTACATCCATCAGCTGACGCAAAGATTTGCAAAGCACGGCACATTGGGCGGCTCGAAACAAAACATATGTGCCAACACAAGCAACGGCATGTCACTCATAATAAAAGCCATCCACGCGTTCCATCGACCAACACCGAGGAGAGTGCCAAAACGTCGTCCACGGCGGTCGCCAATAATAATGACAGCAACGGAAACTTACAACTCGCCTTTGAAGATGAGAACGCCGCCCGGCGCATGAGCAGTGTTCACAGACATGCCTCGCAGTGGTCCTCGACGTCTTCAGCGCTCGCTGAGCGACGTTGATTCACCAACGGTTACACACAATTACAAGCACAAGTAACTCGCAATCTGCTGGCTCAGCGCTGGCTGGCTCGTACTTCGCACCAACGTTTCTAGACTAGGTAAGTTGCAAAACTGAGCGATGTTGCGCGGCGCCGCCGCTGCCAGCGACAAATATGGCGCTGCTGTCGCATCCAGATTCACTCACTGCATGCTCGCTCACAGAACACCTAGCTCGCTCGTGTCACTCCCGTAACCTCCATCGCTGTGCATGTTGCAGTGCGTCGATATCTGTGGAGGCTTCTTTCTGCGTTATAATTTTTGTGCTTCAGAGCGCCCTGTTCTGCCCTGTATGTGTTGCGTGTTTTCATCATGCCCGGATGTTGCGTTCTCGGCTGTGGAGTAGCTACAGGAAATAAGAGACACCGCGACATTTCTTTTGTGCCCACGTGTACCTGAGCAGCGAGAGGTATGGGACCACGCTATTCCTCGTGCAGATAAGAAACTGCCTCAGCACCTCACGTGTGTGTGATATGAACTTTCATGAGAAGGACATCCTGAAGACTTTCACTCACGTGATATGGTAAGAAGGTACAAATCGCAAGAGAAAAGTGGGACCTCGTCGAAGGATGCGTTCCACGAGTATTCCCGAATTCGCCCGCTTACCTTTGTCGCGGGGCCCGCGACAAAGAAGCAAAAGCTGCCCGATAGGAGTGGGGTATTTTCCGGAATATCATCGGCGAAAAAGAATTGACTATCTCCGAGCACTGAGCTCGAATACAGTGAAATAAGTCTCGACATGCCGTCAATTAACTAGTGTTGTCGTTTCGCTTCAAGACATAGAAAACGTTATTTTGCATGCTGGCGGAAAGTTGTTGAGAATGGCGAGACAAGACGTCTTGTGGTGTTTCTCGGGCTCAAAGAAAAAAAAAAGAGCGCTATTTGTGGAGAAATGCGTTGTCGCCGCAGAAGACATGACAGTCACCATTAGCAGCCGTCACCATCACTTAGCCAAGTCGCCTGGTAATGCAGATACCATCACCCAATGGGCCGAACTTCTGGAGGACATAGAAAAGCTGCAAGTGTGTTGATGTTGTCCCAATTGATTGATATGTGGGGTTTAACGTCCCAAAACCACCATATGATTATGAGAGACGCCGTAGTGGAGAGATCCGGAAATTTTGACCACCAGGTGTTTTTTAACGTGCACCCAAATCTGAGCACACGGGCCTACAGCATTTCCGCCTCCATCGAAAATGCAGCCGCTGCAGACGGGATTTGATCCCGCGACCTGCGGGTCAGCAGCCGAGTACCTTAGCCACTAGACCACTGCGGCGGGGCATGTTGTCCCAATGCGCCAGCAGGCAGACTCGTGAGCAATTACTGCGAAGTACTCACCGATACACCAAAGTGCGATCTCTGCTCGAAGCTTTGGCTGCAGCTGTGTTAACAGGTTTCATTGGAGGAACTACAAAAGAAGCAGAGGGAAGACATGCTCAATAAAATGGCCGCAAGCGTAGCTTTTCGACGGTCTAAGTTGCTAAAGAATGTGACTGACATGAAAAAAAAAGCTGACTACATAACCAGACAAAAGCCACAAGATTGCGCCGCATTGTTGTAATTTATTTTCAAGGCTAAAAAACACAGCCACAAAAGAGGATGCCAGACATTGTAATTGGGTTTTTCGCGTCTAAAAATCTATTGCGAACGTACACCTACTAGCAACTAATCGACAGACTCGTATGTTATGCTATATATATCAAGCATTGTTTATTGTGGGCAGTTGAGAAAACCATAATTATACTGTATTTGCGTTACACCACTAAATATTACGCAGCATTAGGTTTCTGCGGCAGCACAGCGAATCTCGATAATATACTGTTGGTAAGCTCTTTCAGAACGGCCGCCACGGCGTCTTGCCATGACGACTACGCGTTTTCGTCTGCTAGCGAAAGCTTGTTGCGCCGCTAGCGCCACCAAACCAAAAGCTGTCCTGGCGCCCTGTGCCGAGTAATCTGACGTGGGGAGTTTTGCAACTTACCTAGTCTAGAAACGTGACTTCGCACCACGCAAACACAATTCACTTACAGAAGGGAAACTGTACCTTTGACATTGCTACAAAAATAAGGGTAGTGGTGGCGCTGTGAACTAACTCATTCAACCTAGAGACGGCGCTGCTAAAACTCATGCAAAGAAGAAGGCAAAATGGTTAGAGATTGAGGAGCAGTTAAACAAAGAACAGATAGGCGTGTATGCGGTTACAGAAACACACCTTAGAGACTTGGAAGAGCCACCACATATTAAAAATTATGTTTGGGAAGGGTGTAACAGGACCATATCGGAAAGGAAAGGTGGGGGTGTAGGAATGCTAATTCACCGCGGAGCCAAATGGGTTAGAGTGAAACAGACGTGTTCAGAGCACCTCTGGATTCTGGGCACAGTAGGTGGAAAGGAAACGTGGCTAGGGGTAGCCTACTTGTGGACGGGGAATAACTGCAGAGAAAAGAATCAGGAGATAGTGGATTGCATGAGTGCGGATATTAAGGAATTTGGTAATGGGGCCGAATCATCCTTCTAGGGGACATGAATGCCCACATACATGACCTTGACGGATATTCAGACACCAATGGGAAGTTATTACTAGATCTTTGCGAGCAACATAGTCTGGAGATAGTTAACACGGGGCCTAAATGTGACGGCCAGATCACATGGGAAGTCGGAAACAAGCAATCAAGTATTGATTATTGTCTCATGACTGAAGGAATTTACCACAAACTGACAGAAATGAGGATAGACGAGGAAGGCATTAACAGCTTGGGTAGTGATCACAAACGAATAACATTACAAATGGGATACGAAACTGAAATATGAGCATGGAATCAAAGTCTGGCAGCTCGTATTTAAATGACAAACAAATAATAAATATAGCCGCAAGAGTTGAGGAAGAAGTAGGCGAAATACCAGGCAAGGACTGGGAGTATAGTGAGCTGTTACATCTAATGACGAAGGAGATAGGGAAAGAGAAGAAAACTGTTTGCTGGAAAGGAAAAAGGAAGCCAAAAGTTGGTGGAACAAGGAATCCGGGAGGCGATCGAGAAGCGACGCGAAGCATCACGGGAGCATAGAAAGGCAAAAAAGGAGAAGCGGCCGCAGGACGAAGTCAAAAAAATATGGGAAATATATTTAGAGAAAAAATCCCTTGTACAGAAATTGGTAGAGGCAAAAATTAAAGGTGAAAGTGAACGCTGGATGACAGAGATACACGAAAAAAAGGAGGCCGCGCCTAGGATTTTTTGGAGCCACATAAAGGCGCTAGGTAGGAAGTCTGTCACAACGCAACAACATATTCTAGATGAAGGAGGAAATCAATTGGAAGGGTACGAAGCGCTAGGTTACATCCAAAAGGTAACAGCCGATTCGTTTCAAAAGAGCGTCCAGGGGATCTCCCCGGTGAGTAAAAGTGTGGCGGAGAAAGCAACAGAGGAAGAGCTAGTACTTGATAATTTCAACTGGAAAAAGGCCGAAGGAAAATTCCAAAGCGCACTGCCGCGGGTCTAGATGGGATTCCCGTTAGCCTCATTAACGAACTAGGACATAACACTAAAGAAGCATTGTTAAAAGCAGTAGAAAAAAGCTTAAAGGACGGACAAATACCGGACAGTTGGCGACAAAGTAGAATGAACTTAATCTATAAAGGCAAGGGAGAAAAGGACAAGATTCGCTCGTATAGACCACTAACCATTACATCGGTACTATACAGGTTGGCGATGCAAGCAGTAAAAATGAAAATAGAAACATGGGCCGAACATAACGATATTTTGGGAGAACTTCAGAACGGATTTCGAGTCGACAGGCGGTTAGACGATAACCTGTTTGTTCTCACTCAGTGTATAGAAATATCTAAAATAGAGAATAGGCCCTTGTACGTGGCTTTTCTAGACATCACTGGGGCATACGACAACGTTAATCAGGAACTTTTGTGGGATATATTGAAAGGAATGGGCATGGGCGACGACTGTATACAGCTTTTGAGGGAGATATACCGAGAAAATACAGTTTGCATAGAGTGGGAAGGAATGCGTAGCAAAGAGAACGTTGAGGTTAGCAGGGGTCTGAGACAGGGATGTCCTTTGTCCCCGCTGTTATTCATGCTGTACATGGTGAGTATGGAAAAAGCGCAAGAAGGTAGCAACATTGGTTTTAATCTGTCACACAAACAGGGCGGCATGATGATTGAGCAGAAGCTTCCAGGTTTATTTTATGCGGACGATATCGTCTTATTTGCGGACAGTCGAGATGATATACAGCAGCTGGCGAATATATGCGGAAGGGAAGGTGAAGCTCTTGGACTAGGATTCAGTGTAACGAAGTGTGGATTGATGGTATTCAATGATCCCTGTGATCAGACGGTGTCCATACAAGGCCAAGAAATACCGAGGGTAAGTGAATACAAGTACCTTGGAGTATGGGTAAATGAGAGTGATAGATACATGGAGGTACAGGAAAAAGCCTCGGCAGCAAAAGGAAAGAGGAATGCGGCAATAATGAAGCACAGAGCGTTGTGGGGATACAATAGGTATGAGGTGCTTCGAGGTCTGTGGAAGGGTGTAATGGTTCCAGGGCTTACTTTTGGGAACTCAGTGGTGTGCATGAGGGCAGAGGTGCAATCGGGAATGGATGTAAATCAAAGGACTGTGGGACGCCTCGCGTTGGGTGCTCACGGGAAGACGACAAACGAGGCTGTAAAGGGCGATATGGTGTGGGCAGGTTTTGAGGCGAGGGAAGCGCAGAGCAAAATAAGGTTCGAAGAAAGGCTAAGAAATATGAAGGAGAGTAGATGGGCAGAGAAGGTGTTCCGTTATTTGTATAGGAAGAGCGTGGACACACAGTGGAGAAAAAGAACTAGAAGACTCACTAGTAAATATACGGCTGGTATTGTAAGCCATATGTCAACAAAGAGCGTTAAGGGAAAAGTCAGGGAGGTGGAGAGGATTTACTGGATGGCAGCTATGGAGAAAAAACCGGCTTTGAGTAACTACCGAAAGGGCAAAAATGAAATAAGGAGGGAGGCATTTTACGATAATTCAAGGGGAAGCGCTTTACTGTTTGAAGCGAGATCGG